AGAGTCACACAGAATAGGTAACAATAAAACCTCTACTTAGAATTTACTATAAGGGTTACATAGATCTAATAATAGTTGGTATGGTTGTGAAAAATAATAATAATAATAATAATACAAATACAAAAACGACTGGCAGTCTTAATAACCAATTTATTGCATGTATTATTTGAAATAAATATGTACCTTCGGTATTTCAAATAACTAATAAGGAGGAGTTAAAAGCAGAAGTTAAGAAAACTGTTTGCTATCTATACTATTTTAAATCATTAAGAAAAGTATTACTCTAAGGGGGGAAATTCACATCCCCAGTGTTAATAAATACAATAGTTAAAGTTATCTTACATAAAAGCCATCGCATACGGACTGATGTCCAGCAGAAAACCGTCCAATAATTCTATGACGATTTCGGACAGTTCATGATTGCTCTGTCGTGCAATATCGAGACGCCGGTGGTTGGCCTCTCCGGACTCCAAGAAATACAACTGACAGTTGTTGGCACCTCCCGGGCAACGGCCACCTCATTGTTGGTCCTCCGATAGGTCTGTCCGTGGACAATCCACACTGGCGGTCCCCGCCCTGGCAAACTGGTGGTCCTCCACCCCGTCGTCGACCATTTCCACCTCCACTACCTGGAAGTCGTCCTCCAACCCGTCGTCGACCATTTCCACGTACTCCACCAATTCCTCGTCCTCTACCACTTCCACGTACTCCACGACCTCTACCACTTCCATGTCATCAAACCACCTCCATCTGGACTTCTGCCACTTCCAAGGCCTCCACCACATCCATCTGGATGTCCCCGAACACCTAAAAGTTTGGTTGAGTTTAGAGTATTTTATTTACAATGCATAATATAATTATTGTTTAACCAGGAATTAATGTCGTGTGTATCAGTATAGATGTTATACTCGTTTAAGTAATTTTATAAATAAGTAGGTAAAAATAAATAGGAGAAAAAGAGAAGTACATTTAGCTAAATGTGTGTTCAATGTGATCAAGTTAACTACACCTATATCTAAGCCCTGCTTAACGTAACCTTAATACGATATTTTACATCGTAGTATAATCTAAAATTGTCATGTAATAAGTAAGCAGATAAACTTACTTTTGTTATAGTTAAAAATAAATAAATTTTATCTTTAAAATCAAGAGAAAATCAAAAAACAAAGAAAGTATAATTGGTTGAGCATTCATAGATATTTATAATCTTTCTAACAACAATAACTTTGAAACATTGTAAAAACATATTGCACTAGAACACTAGAACACTTTCTGTTATACAGTACAATACATTTTTACAATGTTTCAAAGTTATTGTTGTTAAAAAATATGTATGGAGGCGCAACCAATCATACTTTCTTCTGTAAATTTCTTTGTTAATTTCTAAGAGTACTACATGTGAAATTCTAAAAAACTTATCTAGTACACAACTTACAAATGACCTAGCTCAGTAGTAAGTAATGTTATTAGTAGCAGTAGTAGTAGTAATAAGAAAATATTTTGTTCGTTGGTTGTAAATGTCCATAATAAAAGTTAAAATACAGTGAGTTGAACTTTTAATGGTTGTGTATGTACTCATATGCAATAAGTGCATTTATACGAAATTATTATATGATAAGTTTATGTTACACTAATACTTAAGAGTCTTCAATGTGATAAGATCAAGTACACCTAAATGATAAAACACTTATCCAGTATAGGAGAGGTTAGTAAAGAGTCTAGTAATACCTACTTTGTGTAGTAGTAACATTAGGAAAATGTGTCAGGTGTTCTGCTGTTTAAGTCAATATAGTAAAAGTTGATAAAATATAGATAATAAAGTTGATTCTTATGATAAAATAGATATTTAGTTTTCAAGAATGTTGTACCGAGCCAGTGCAGTATAATAAAGAATAAGTAGGTATAGTAGAGTAATCTAAGTCATGTACAGAAACAATTTATATAATATGTATCTAAGATCACAGTGAATATTAACACGGAATAAACGTAAACAAATCTATTGTATTAACTTTTGAAATAATAAAAACATTTCTAAGAGTACCACAAGTTAAATGATAAAATGCCTATCTACTACACAACTTACAAATAAAGGAGAGTATACCTAGGTCAGTAGTAAGTAGTAGTAGTAGTAGTAGTAGTAGTAGTATTTTGTTCATTGGTTGTAAATACCCAACAGAGAGTTAACTGTGACTTATACTACCTATTTCGTAGGAGTGGATATACAGTTTATCATTTTAACAAAATAAATAAAAATAAAGGGTAATTTAATACAGAATTTTAACCTCCAACAATAAAAAGGAAAATATAGTAATAAATATGTTACACTGTAGTACAAACAAAGTTAGTTGTATAAATTGCTAACAATAAGACAATATGTGAAATGATAAAATACTTATCCAATATACAATTCACAAAGAGTTGTGTACAGAAACAATTTATATAATATGTATCTAAGAGCACAGTGTACAAGCATGTAACAAATTTCAACCGTAGGTTAGACACTACTTTTTGTCATTGGTACTTACAAATAAAGGAGAGTAGACCTAAGTACTAAGTAAGTAGTAGTAGTAGTAATATTGAAAACTGTGTAAGAAAACGTTAAGTGTTCTGTTTAGGTCAATATACCCCCATAGTAAAAGTTGATATATTAGTATAGTTATAAGTTAACGTAGGTATTAAAATAAGCTTGACCCAGTGTTTGATATGCAATCGAAACCTGAAACAGGAGTAACACAATTGAATGTCGTTCTACAATTAAATTTCTATACAATTATAATATGCCAGTATAGTATAGAAAAGTATAAGTAGGTCCAGAAATAATGTATATAATATGTATCTATGCTGTACTAACGTATTAGTAACAACGTATAATAAAAACCAAGAGTAGAATGTATATCATTACTTTCATTTTACTGTATAAACACAATATTAAGTATACAATATCAGTTATGTAAACATAGGTAATCTATAGTTTGTGGGTAATGTAGCATGGTTAAGTGCATTTATTGTACTACTGTTACATTTAACAGTAAGTGTTATTTCTAAGAGTACTACATATCTAGTACACAACTTACAAATGACCTAGGTCAGTAGTAAGTAATGGTGGTAGTAGTGGTAGAAGTAGTAGTAGTAGTAGTAGTAGTAGTAGTAGTCATATAGTAAAGGCAGCATGCTCGCGGACGTCGCTCTGGTATTTGGACTATCTACTCGGGTAACAGGAGACCGTTTTTTGTGTTTTTTGTGTCAAAAGGTGCATAAAAAGTGCGCGCGTAGACCGGTGTCGATTTTGAGTAGGTCTGCTTAAAACGATACCCCATAAGGGCAGTTTTTGTGTCTATCATAGGATTAACACAGCCGCCGTGAAAAGGTAAGATTTTAAATCATATTTCCATCGGCGCGTGTAGGCCATTAGCTTAATCTAGACCAATTAACTATAAATTACGATAACGACACGGATGCGGGCTATCGCCAAATAGGTACATAAATTGCTGTCGCAGAGACTATAGCATGGAGACAGCTGCTCATATCGGAACAAATAACCGATAAGAATATTTCTGAAAGACAAAAAAAAAAAAAAAATAATACAGTAGGCATCAACTCGGCGACTTGGCTAAACTTGGCTCGGCCCGGTAGGTTGGCAATACAACTTTACGGATCTATCTGCGGGACGCTCTGATACCTTCGGATTTGGAACCTCCCAAGATATTTTCGATGAATTCTGAATCAGAATCTAGTGGGGCTTCCACACCCGGTGGACCTAAACAAATGGGAAAGAAGCCCACACTTACGGAAAGACTACTACTGACCAAGTCGGGTCAAACGATAAAAGATAACGAGCCCCCTCCTACATCAGCAGAGGATTGGCACAAAAGAATGGAAGCTTTTGAAACAATGGAAGGGGAACACTTTAATCGCGTAGGAAGAAAATTAAATGAGATGTTAGAGCAGGTCAAAACAGCTAGAACTGTGCCAAAACTAGTTCAAACTGCACTAGCCGAGGCAATGGCCTCAAACAGGAATGCTATTGTGGCACGCAAGGAGCGACTCGAAGCCAAATCACAGTGGTTGAAACTTCTAGAAGGAAAAGAAGCAGACAATGGTGGATTTGTGATGACCAATGAAGGTACGGGAAAAAGCACACTCTTAGACGAAATTAAGGAAATAAAGAACCTGTTGACGGAACAAGATCGTAAGATTAGCGAGCTAACAGTGAACAAAAATAATAGACCAAGAGAAGTACTGCCGAAAGAGAATCTGATGACGGAGGAAGGCGAGACAGCAAATTTGGGTGAAGAACCTTGGACTAAAGTACCTAAGAAAAATTCAAAAAAATTTATAAGAAAAAGAGCCCCAGCCGTGATAGTCAAGCCGGGAAACATATCGTATGTCGACGTGCTCAAAAAGATCAGGGAAGAACCTACACTGAAGGAATTTTCTGAAGACATAATGACAATGCGTAGGACGGAAGCTGGTCACCTTCTTGTGGAATTGGATGGAGCTTCTACCAATGTCGACAAAGTAAATTCCGCCATCAGGAGAGCTGTCGGAGAAACTAGCACAGTCTCCTCTCTTAGACAGATAGTAAAAGTTGGTATTATTGGCCTGGATGAGGTAACAACATCTGAAGAGATTGAACAAGCAATCACCTCGACTTTCCAAACAGACTCCGTGGAAAAAATTAACATGCTTAAAATGGCACAGGGTCAACAAATTGCAGTAATAACGGTAAATACTGAGGTTGCTAACAAAATCGTTAACCTGGGGCGCATTAGAGTAGGTTATGTTTCTTGCAGAACGAGGATGTGGCTAGATATCAAACGATGTTTCCGATGTCTAGGGTCTGGCCATGAAACTCGTGATTGTCAGGGGACCGACCGATCAAGTTGCTGCAGAGGTTGTGGCAAACACGGTCATCTCATCAAAGATTGCCAGGAGACAGATACTAATCGCACATTGTTTAAAGAGACACTAAGACAGGAGGCGCTGCGGTTATCTGCACAATGATTCGTTTTCTCCAAGTAAATATTGGCGTCGGTAGGGCAGCTCAGGACCTGATGGTCCATACCGCAAAGGAACATTGTGCTGACGTTGTATTGGTTAGTGAACAGTACCGTAATTTATGCGAGGATGTAGGATGGTACAGCGATGTGCCAGGAAGAGCTGCGATTTTTGTAGCCAAGGACATAGCGATAGACGAAATCGGACCAGCGGATACTGGTTTCCGGTGGATCAAAATAAAAGGTATACGCTTCTACAGCGTATATTGCTCACCTAACATTTCTTTGGACGAATACAATGAGTTTCTTAGTAGATTGGAAGACAGCTTGCGTGAAGCAGATGGACCAGTACTTGTAGGTGGGGACTTCAACGCCAAGCGCCCAGAATGGGGATCGCAAATATCGGATATAAGAGGGGACACTTTGGCAGATCTATCGTTCTCTCTAGACCTGCAAGTTTGCAATGTCGGTGACCACCCAACATTTACAAGAGGAGGGTCGGAATCTTTCATTGACATAACATTTGTATCCCGGTCGCTTTGGAGTAAGGTGAATAACTGGCGAGTGCTTGAAGAGGAATCGATGAGCCTACACTGGTACATTATATTTGAAATCTCGCTTAATACCTCTCTTCCAGTCCAACCAACCCCTAAGGGATGGAACTGGCGGAAACTAGACCGAGAAAGGTTGCTTATGTTCCTAGAAACAAGAACGGTATCAGATTTTGGAGATACTAACTCTACAGAAGTGCTACCAAATGCCTTAGATGCATACCTTGCGGCTGCGTGTAACCACTCAATGCCCAATAAGTCATACCATGGCCGAAAAAAACCGGTCTACTGGTGGACACAAGAAATTGCTGAATTTCGCAAGGCATCGTTTGCAGCAAGGCGAAAATTCCAAAGAGCTAGAAAACGGAGGGGGCCCGACGAGTGTAGAGAACTGGAACAAGTGGCGAGAGAAACACTTAAGACTTTGAGGGTAGCCATAAGAAAAAGTCAAGAGGACTCTTGGAGAAATTTATGTCAGCTGGTAGACAATGATCCATGGGGGCTATCTTATAAAATCGTAGCCAGGAAATTAATCAGAAAGCGACCAATACCAGGTCTCTCACTGCCAGGTCGATTACAGGATATCGTTCACGGACTATTTCCTGCCAGGCGTTTTGTGGAGTGGCAAATGCCATCGGAAACTGACACAATTGAACCAGTAACGGCTGAGGAATTGGTGGAGCTGGCCAACGCCTTACCTTCTGGGAAAGCGCCAGGTCCAGATGGTATACCCGATACGGTAGTGAAGACAGTAGTATTGAAAAGGACGATTGAAGTTGCGAGTATCTTTAACAAATGCATGCGTAATGGGTCTTTCCCAAGTCCCTGGAAGGAGGCCCGACTTGTGTTGGTTAGGAAACCGGACAAACCTTTGGAACTGCCATCTTCCTATCGGCCACTAAGCATGGTTAATACAATTGGTAAGATGTTTGAGCGCGTCTTGAAGAGACGACTAGAGGCACACCTTGGACTAGAGGGGCTCTCGGAGAACCAGTACGGTTTTAGAAGAGGGAAGTCCACGATGGATGCTATCGAAAAAGTGTTGGCTATAGTAAACCGTATTAACTCCGTGCCATGGAGGCGAAGAGAGCTATGTGCTATTGTGTCGATTGATGTCGCAAATGCCTTCAATACCGCACCTTGGGAAAAAATCGGAGAAGCACTAAGGCAAAAAGATGTACCTTTCTACCTGATAAAAATACTTCGTGACTACCTTAGGGAGAGACGGTTACAGACAGACGCGGGGAATGTTGACGTTACATGTGGAGTACCACAAGGATCAGTAATTTGTCCTATTCTATGGAATATATTTTATGATGATCTGTTGCGCCTAACACTACCTGAAGGAGTAAGGATAATTGCGTTTGCAGATGACGTTGCAGTAGTTGGAACCGGTTGGTGTACAGAGGCTCTGGAGGTCTCAATTAATGCTGCGTTAAAACAAGTTAGCAACTGGATGAGCAGAAACGGACTGACGATATCGATAAACAAGACAGTGGCTATGATGATGACGACAAAAAGGAAATATAGACACCCACAGTTTGTGCTACTAGACGACACCTTGGAGTTAAAAGGAAAAATGCGTTATTTGGGAGTGGAGCTGAGTTCATCACTGGGATTCAAGGAACATATCCAAATGGCACGCAACAAAGCCTTGAGGACAACGGTCGCTCTTTCCCGCTTGATGCCCAATGTTAAAGGCCCAAGGCCAATAAAAAGGAAGCTACTCGCATCAGTGGTTCATAGCCAACTGTTGTATGCGGCCCCCGTGTGGAGCTCATCGCTAGTATTTCATAACCATAAGCAGTTACTTCTAGGCCCCCAGCGGGCAATAGCCCTGAGAGTCGCCAGTGCGTATAGAACGGTATCCACGGTGGCAATATTGGTTGTGGCCAACATTGTTCCGGTACACCTTATGGCGAGAGGACGGAGTGAACTAAGACGACTGCAAAAAACTGGGATTGAGGACGCAAGGCACATGGTTGATGAAAATATCTGGAGTTGGTGGCAACAGGAATGGGACGGTGAAAAGGATAAAGGGGCGTGGACAAAGCGACTCATATCTAAAGTTCGCGATTGGGCAAGTCGATCACATGGTGTGACAAGCTACAAGCTACCACCTGACATAGATGTTGAAGGGACATGGCTGCTTCCAGGCCAAACTATATAGCTTCACCCGTGCAGAATCCCCACATTGCTTATCCTGTGGAGATAATATTGACGATGCGGAACACACGTTTTTTAAATGTGGCCGGTGGGCAAGGAAGCTGGCAGATCTGGAAGCCACGGTTGACCAAGTTGTTACACCAGAGACGATAATTCCCATCATGCTACACAGTAAGAGAAACTGGGAAGCGGTGGAAAGGTACGTAACTTTAATCCTGAGGACCAAGGTAGAAGAGGAACGGCTGAGGAGATAGAACGAGAGGTCTAAGGCGACAGGCGTACACGTCGGCATGAGAAACAGACGTCCAAACTACAAGTGTAAATAGTTCCAGGTGCAATGCACAGACGTGTAATCTATGTTAAATTAAGATCCAGCTTAGATGCTACTAATCTATTGTATATACATGTCGCATGTTGAATGTTTAGCTTAAGGCGAAAATGTATTAAGTTTGATTATATAAATAAAAGATGATGGCTCGGCGGGAAAGCAAAGCAAAGGCAGTCCTCCCCCGAGTCCGGCGATAAGATAAGAAAAAAAAAAAAAAATGTAGTAGTAGTAGTAGTTGTAAGATGTAAGAAAATGTTTAAGTATTTTGTTAAAGTTGATAAGTTAGTATAGTTAGATATGCGTTTGAAATTTGAAACAGCGGTAAGAAAATAGAATGTCGTTCAAGTTATACTACAATTTACTTTATTAAAATAGAGATTTAGTTTTGAAGAATGTTGTACCGAGCCAGTATAGTATGGTAGGTATAGTAGTCTGTTATGTAAACAATGTATTTAATATGTATCTAAGAGCACAGTGAATAATTAAGCATGTACGGATCAGGCACCACCATCTGTGGGACGTCTTCGAGCGTTTCAGCCTGACGCAGAACATGCGGGCCAACAACGACGCGGACTTTGCCGCCTGGTTGCTTCAACTCGGCAACGGCCAGCTGCCCGCGGTCGACGGAAATGTGAACACCGTCGAAATCCCCAGGAATATGGTATGTGACATAGCTAATTTGATTGATTTTGTTTACCCGCAGCAAATGTCGTTGGCTAACGTCGACGACTTTGCTCGGAAAATTATTCTCTGTCCCCGGAACGAGGATTGTAGACAGGTCAATCGCACGGTGCTGCAACGCGTCACGGGTGCCGCAAGAACCTACACCGCCATAGATACGGTGGTGGCGGACGACGTGGACGAGATTGCCAATTACCCGACCGAGTTTTTGAACTCGCTGGAGCCCGACGGACTTCCTCCGTACAGGCTGACGCTGGTGGTCGGTTCCGTGGTCATGCTGCTGCGGAACCTTGATCCGAAAATCAGACTGTGCAACGGAACAAGGTTAGTGGTTACGGAACTGAGGCGCAACAACTTCAAAGCGAGGTTGTTGGCGGACGCGGGGGAAGGGCAGGACGACATCGTCATCCCCAGGATACCGCTGTCGTCCAGCGGAGACGACGACCTGCCCTTCACCATGCGTCGGGTTCAGTTCCCGGTTAGACTTTCGTTTGCGATGACGATCAACAAGTCTCAGGGTCAAACTTTTGACAGAGTTGGTTTGTTTCTGCCGTCCCCGGTGTTTACGCACGGACAACTGTACGTTGCGTTCTCACGAGTGCGGGACTCGGAATCAATAAAAGTTGGTATGTACGGTGGCGACGACGGTCGATTTATCACAAGGAATATAGTGTATTCAGACGTGTTGTGATCGGCCGTTTTTGTTCAACCTTAACTTGAGCAGTGCAATTACACTTAATACTTATTAGTTATTGCAGTCTAAATCACTTATGCCGATAATTTTTAATTATTTGCTATAAGTTTAGCCGTCGCTATATGCGACAGCGGGTACCTGTGTGGTCCGACCTGTGTGGTCCGACCTGTGTGGTCCGACCTTTGTGGTCCTGTGGAGAGAAAGTTTGACAACCTCCCAGTGGTTCTCTCTGGATGCTTATTCACTGCAAAGTGAATTCGTAACTAATGTCAAACGTTTTGAAATTAAATTAATTAACTGGTTTTCAGCATACTTATAGAATTAACATTTTCAGGCTGTTGAAAAATGGTGAACAACTGTGTTTGGTGTGGAAACATTGATGCCGCCATGGAGTTTCTATACACAAGTAAGTATGAACCATTTACGTCCCAATGAACATGACCGTTACACTCACATTCACATTTATATTTAGGTTTCGACGGATATGGACGCAGTTAGTGCAACACCATGGGTCACAAGTCTATCAAGCTGTGTTCGAGGTTTTTTGTTTCTGGAGACTTCTCGACACAACACTGAGGTTATTATGAATATTTGCATTAGTATTTGTTCATTTCCCACACATATCAAAACCACCAAAATGTGTTTCATTTGTATTAATCACAACTTAATACTCTTATAACAATTTACTTTCATTGACCAAATGATTTTAATGTTTATATTTTATTGTAAAATCTTATATTCATGAGTATACTTCGATATTCTTCATTATAAAGGTTAATGCATTTGATTTTCTGTGATCACTGTTAACTATTACTTGAGAACTATTATATGTTGTATGTGTTATTCTTATTCACTATTCACTATACAATTTAATATTTTTGTCATGTTTTCAGGTTAATTTATTATCAGAAATATTTCATTGACTTTTATTTGTAATGTTTAACTACCCCGTGTTCAATTCATGTTCACATAATATCTAAACAGAATATTCTTATACGTATAACGCATTCATTTTAACTTAGACTAATATGAGTTCAAAAAAATTCATAGACCTTATTAGATAAACCCAATATTGCCTTAATAGTGTTATTAACTTTTATAATGGTTTCATAAAGATATACTGACGTTGTGCTTAAAGTATCTTTACCAAACAAAATGACAAATTTGATTCTGCCTCACTCTTTTAAGAACTACATTATACTATAAGCTTATTCATTAAATTCATTAACTGGTATATTGTATTTTTAGGCTGTTTTGTGTGGAAACATTGAGATACAAACCACAACATGCCAGGCCAACACAGCACTGCACTGCTACCTTCGACAGTGATATTATTGGTTCAGTTCCCACTCTGTGTTTCATTCATGTTAACCACAACTGAAAACCCTTAGAAACCTTTTTGAAATGACACCCAACAAAATGACAAATGCTTTTAATGTATAAACTAATGTATGTATTTGTTTTACTTCTTATTGTTAAGCCTTATATCATCAAAAAAGACAAATTTAATTCTGTGAACACTGTAAATATTGTCGCTGTATTTAACTTAAAAGATTAATTGTGTTATTGTATAACCTTATATTCGTACTTTAATGTCTATGGACGACTGTCGAAGTACTATATAATAGAAATTGCTATATTTTGTAACATGCCGTATCATTACCTATTTGTTCAATCGCAATTGTAATTACCTTATAACTATGTAACATTGTGTTCAAACTGTAAAATACCTACAACACGTTGAATTTTTAATTTTTTAATGTCTTTACCGTGCGTAGGTAAATTGTTTTATGTATTTATCAAACATCTATCTGGTTATTGTATAACCTTAGATCCGTACTTCAATGTCTATGGACGACGGTCAATGTTCTATATTATAACAGTATGATTTTCCTTTGTATTTTGTTTATCAGTATTAAAATTAGTCAAATTAAATTAACCTCAACTTTTTGTAACATGTCGTATCACTATCTATTTGTTCAATCGCAATTGTAATTACCTTTTAACTATGTAACATTGTGTTCGTACTGTAAAATACCTACAATACATTGAAGTTTTTATTTTTTACTGTCGATACCGTGTGTAGGTAAATACACTTTTGTTGTATGTGCTTATGATATGATGGTTGGTTAACTGTGACTGTAGTATTTCAATTATTATACATATTATTACGTTTGATTATACTTATTATTATTATACTTATTGTGTATTACTTTTATTATTATATATTACTGTCTATAGATGATAATACACATATATTTAATATTATATAGTTGTTAGGTCTTTATCTCTGAGTATGATCAATTATTGGTTTAAATCCATTACTAAAATATTAGTGTCGGCACGCCGTTTGTCGATCAACTATTGATGTAGACTATTCCAACTAACACTATAGATAACAGTCATACCTTAACTGTTCATCTATGTAGCACGTAGCTAATAGCTTGGAACACATCTTATCATAAGAAAAAATAAATATTTATTAATACTCTCATGTAACATTTATCACACTACTATTATTTTTATTAATATGTTGCTGCTAATATTAAAAAATTTGGAAAGTCATTACACTAATTGGTACTGAAAAACAGATTTATGGTTTAATTATTGCAATTAGTCTAATGACCGTTGCCAAGCTATTTGAATAGCACCTACATATTATAATCATTGATTATAAATACTTATATTATTTATATATATATAATATATTAATATGTATAAATATATTTATAATCAATGATATAATATACTAATTGTCACAGATAACACTTAACTACTTTATATTCTCAACAGCAATATTATTAATTATTTTATATTATCAATTACTTTTTAGTGTTTACATTATTTTATGTAACAATACGATTATTTATCAGTCCATATTAACAACAATGTACGCTATACAAATATTTTCAATTGATTACAACACTTGCCCGACAATGTCATTACAATGTGGGATTTTATAAAACTACTAAATTTAAACACCAGTGGACTACAGTTATAATGATTAATTATCTTTTAGCACATTTTGTGAAGTAAACCCTATTCTGATGAATAAAATCAAGATAAGGTTTTCAACACTTCCATTTCAAACCAGCAACACACATCACTTACCTATTTTATTATTACTAACTAATAATATATTACTGTTGTTAACCAACTACTAAAATATTTAATGACACACCTCACATACAATTGTCAATTGACAAACGTTACTGTTACAGTTCATAAAACAATATTGGGATCAAGGAAATAATAAATAACAATAAAAGTTACATGAAATGGTGCTTTATTCATTCTGAAA